TTTACAGTTATGTCGCGAATGCTGTGAAATACATTTCTCGACGCTCATGCATTGAATTTCGAGGGCGCGGAAATGCATTTAATACATATTTTCGCTACATGAATAACTCCATAACAGTTACAATAATTTATTCTTTTATTCCCACTCAGAATTCAACGGCACCTATCGTGAGAGTCTTGCAAGTATATGGCAAACGATAAACGAATCAGAAGATGGATCGATGCCAGTTCTAGTGAGTTTTCTTTTGGCAGAACGCGTCTACAATCTGAATTATTCAGAATTCTGACGCAGTTCGTTGTTCTCTCTTTGTTACTAGCCAGGGAAAACTGTTTTTGGGCCGTTCTGATGGAGTCATTATCATGACTTATGCCTGTGAAACATTGGCTCGACAATGGCTTCGAGTGCCAAGTGAAAGGGCTACCTCAAGAATCTTAACTGGTCATGATGCAGCTGTTCGGACAATGTTCTATCCTTTCGAACACGATACCAAATACGATCCTCAATACTTTGTTTCTGGATCGGATGATTTCTCAGTTATCCTTTGGAATATCAATAGTGGCACTAAGATTCACCGTTTTACTGTTCATGGAGGACCAGTCAAGAGTTTCATGATTCCACCACCGAATTGCAGTGTAAGTTGAAACTCACTTCAGTCAAGATTCCATGTCCCAAAAGTTTCAGAAACAAGTCACAAAGTGCATAGCTTCTATCGCTGCCGATAATACGGTGGCTCTTCTAAATATTCGAGATAGCAAGTGCATGCTACTGGCTTCACGCCATCCATTTCCGATAGTTCAAGTCAAATGGAGGCCTCTAGATGACTTCATGCTCGTTAAACTGTCCGATGGTTCAGTTTACGTTTGGCAAATGGAAACTGCTAACTTGGATCGAATCGCTACTGGTCTTTTAGCTGAAGACATAATGGCTGCATGTGATGAACAAATTGGAATAGAAGAAGGTACAGATGAAACATCAGCACATCATGCCGTTCAATTGATTCGCGCATTGAAAAACAAGAACATGGAAGCTGTGAAACAGAAAGTGGTCGGTGGAACACCCAGCGGATCTGCAACTCCGTCCTGTAAGTATGCTATCGACTTAGCAGAAGAAATGTCTTTTAAAAGAGGCTTTTCAAATAGCAATCATTTTTTATTTCAGCCCACCACGGACTTCCGACGAACTGTGGAACAGCGGTTCAACTTGGATCTCCAATGGCAATCATTCCCCTACCTGGTTGTGCTCAAGGAGCACACCTAGTTCAATTTGAAGTCTCTGCTTTGATATCCGGAATCCTTCATCTCGATTCCTCGGCAGAAGCCCCAGAAGGAAAAACCACCGCTCAAAAATTAGATGCAGCAGTTGCTGCAAATTATGATACCAGTTCGGTTACTGGGCTCTCTCGAAAATTGACATGGCAATTCGAAGCAAACCTATACCTTGATGTTGCTCGTCTAATGCTTTCAATGCTTCATGCGTGGAGTTTGGATGAAGATATGGACGAGGTCTGTGAAAAGAGACTTTCCTTGCACCGTCCGAGACATCAAGTGTATTTCGGAAATGTTTCAAGACAAGGAGAGCTTTCAGTCAGTCTTCCAACTAGGTTTGCAACCGATTTCGATTCATTCTGCAAAAAATCCAGATGGCAGGTATAAAACTTCCAATAGCTGTTACCGGAGAATCAAAATCCAATATTCCAGGCTAGTCATTCTTTAAATACAAGTCATCTTCTAGCAGTTATTGCTACATCTAACACGCTAATGGCAATGAAGAACTCAGCGCTCCAGCTCGCGTAAGCTTCAAAGTTTAGAATGCACCTGATTCATTTTTTATAGCAAGATTCGCAAGAGTGTTGTGGAAATGAATTCGGGACATCAAAATCCAGATCGTCAACAAGTCAAACAGGGATGGAGTCTTGTTGCTGCTCTCCACTGCGTCCTTCTGCCAGATCATGTCCGTCCAAGAAGTAGTTATGCGCCACCGAGCATCGAGATGCTGGTTAGAAGATGGCAAGACAGTTGTTTGGAAATTCGAGAAGCAGCTCAGGCACTTTTGATTCGAGAGCTGACGAGATTAGGAGCTGATGGACGGTAATTAAGTTTTTATTTTCTATACAACCAATATTTGATCGTTCAGTCGTCGTCTCATTGAATCTTGGACTCCATTCCTTCCTCCGCTTCTCGATGATTCCCTTTCTATATTCGGATCCAAACTTCAATCATCAGTTCGTACTATTCAACCCAGTGCTCCAGCCCCACCAATTCCTCCAAGAACAAAAAATGCCCCACCAGATGTTACACCGGTACGAGGATCAGAACCACCAACTGCAGAAGGAGGAGAAGCTGGTATCCAACAAGTTCGCCGTAATCAAGCAACTTCAATCATACTTCTTGGAGTAATTGGAGCTGAGTTTGGCGACGAATTAAATCGTGCAGATTTGACACGTGCTACAGCTGTTTCTCTTCTCGAATTGCTGGTTGCCGCTCCTTCGAATCTGATTCCAGTCCATTCGCCGTTGAGAAGAGCTGCAATCGATTTGTTAGGACGAGGATTTGTACATTGGGAACCACATTTGGAAATCTCGAAAGTGGTTCTGGGACTTCTGGATTTAGCATCCACTAACGATAAACAAAAGTACGATTTTCAGAGAGAGCGAATTCTACATGTTCCCAAAAGTTTATTTTTCAGTACTGCGAGGAGAATCATTGGAGCCCCACTCAACGCGATAGAAGACGCATCTAGAACATCTCGCCAAGCTCTATCTCTTATCGCTCTGGCCCGCCCTCCTGCTTTGATAACTTCGTTAAGCATGGAAGTTGCTCGATACAACGCTGCTGCTCAGCACCAAACAATCCAGCATACCGTCGTTAGCCCATTGCTCAAATCAAGAACTGAAGTTTTGAGAATCGTTGAAGAACTTTGCGAGAAACGATATAATGATATTATTACGATGCTGCTTCCGGTTGGAGATATCCTTGTACATTGTTTGGATATCACTATACTGAAACATAAATCAATGGCTGATGTGTTCCCACCAATCGTTAAATTCAACATGGTTGCCTATTGCTCATCAACGAAAAGAATCGCGTTTGGAGGCAAAAATGGAACCTGCGTAGTTCATGAATTGAGAGCCACTAAAACACATGTAAGCTTTTCCTTTTAATTCGTTTCGAATTTTTTGTTGATTTTTCAGTCGCTCCCATCTCACAATGGTCCTATAGCTGCAGTAGCCTTCAGTGAAGATGGAAAGTATCTTGCTACATACGGCGCAGAAGATGGCAAAATCAACTTCTTCCAAACCAGTCAATCATTCTTGGTAATATCTCTAACAAGATTCTAAAAATAATTCCGATTCCTTTTTACAGGGAATGGGACAAGCTCAACTAAAGTTGGCTAAAAGTCAACCCGCCCCAACAGTTTCTGTGCCCACAACCCCCAGTGGAACATCATTTCGTCCTCGTTTAGTATGGATCAATGCTAAATCGCTGACACTGATGCTCCCCGAGGGCAGAGAACAACGGTTTTCGCTTTAATTTATGCTCAATTTTCACTTGCAATACTATTCATTCTTCACTGTCCAATTTTCACTTTTTACCTTTCCCAAACTTGTTTCGGTTTTTCACTCAACTCTGCCATACACATTCCTGTTAAATAGTCATTCGAATGAACAAAAATGTATTTATTAAGTAGTTATTATCCGAATTATTATTATTACTAGCTTTTTCTTTTCTTCGTCCTCATAATATTGATTCGATGCATAATATAATTTACGCATAGAAGGATAGATAAATGTTTAGCTTCTTTCAAACTCTCTTTCTTTTTCTATTGAATTCGTCGGCAAGAAGATCCATTCCAGGAGCAACCGCACTGCCAGGAACATGTTCACATTTGAAGGTTTTTGGATTCGGACGGAATGGGAAACAACAACATCTGCATACTTTTTCGGTGCGGAACTTTGAATTCTTTCCTCGTCCTTTACGAAGTTTTCTGGAAATTTCAAACTGTGAATTTTTCTTGAAAGTATTTTGGAGTTTACCTATTTTGAGGAAGGCAAGAGTACCAATTGAGGTTGTAGACGTGCTCTCGGAATGCAGGCTCAATATCTGATAGGTCTACTTTGTTAGATGGCCAGAGTTGGCATTCTTTTCCATTTGCCTGTAATTTTCGAACTTTTGAGAAGCTTTGAATTTGTTATACAAACCATTAGAGCATCGTAATCAACGACACAAGAATCAACTTGACTTTTTCCCAAATCTTTTTCACTGCAAACTCTTTCGGCGACATAGAATGGGAGGAAGGGGCGAGTTCCTTCAACTCTGAAATTCAAAACTTTCGGTGTCAGATTTTTATTTTATCTTTAAAAACAGTATATTATTCTGGTAAAAAAATCGGAGCTGTGGGAGAGAAATGCCGTGGGCTGTGGCCGATGGTCCCAAAGCGACCACTACAGTAACCCAAAAATGTTTTTTTTCGGTATTATTATGTAGATTTTCCCTGCTTTTTGTTGAGCTTTTATCTTTCCTGAACAAGTCGAAAAATTAAACCTTTTGATAGTTAAAGGTGGGGGGACAGGAGATTTTTCGTAGTTTTTTTGTAGCTAGAGTATTATCCTTGTCAGAGAAAAAAAAGGTTGAGTCGAAGTGTATGCGATGTTTGTAAACAAATATCTGAAAGCGTAAACAACCGGAAACAGTTGAAACGAGTGCGACAGTAACCCGGCGGGAAAATATTAAAGTTACCTATTTTTCAGTTTTTCTCATATTTTGCAGCAAATTTCGTCGAATATGGTTTGTTTTTCATTGTTTTTTGCGGCATTTTAAAATATATTCGACGAAATTTGCTGCAAAAT